CACCCAGCCAGGTGGGTTTAGGGTGTCACCTCCTCTTCAGCAGAGAATCCATTCTCATTTAAACAAGCAAAGCCCGCACTTGAGGACAGATGAGGCAGACGGGGCTGGTCAGCTTCCCTTCCTAGGGCTCCACCACAGCCCCTCACTACTCGAACCAAAGCAAACTCTACCCAGCCTGGAGCGAGCAAGGCCCTAGGGCATCACCTGAGCCTAAACCCAAGCCTGTTTTCTAAGGACTCAGATTGCAGGTGAGGGGCTGGCCGGCTAGCGGCTTCCCTACCCCGCCACTTGGACTCACTCACAGCTCCTGCCCTCTGCTCCACTCTCAAAGGCAATCTATACAGCAAAAAGGACGCCAAGCCGGGCGCTGTGGTGCACGCCTGTAATCCCAGCACTCGGGAGACTGAGGCAGGAGGATCTCCACAGGTCAAGGCCAGCCTGGGCTACACAGCTAGACGCTGTCTCAAAAACAAAACAAAACAAAACAACAACAACTGGGTGGATCCCAGGGTTTTTGTTCAGGTTCTAACAAGCAGCCAGCACCTCCAACCTCGGAGGTCGCCCTGTTGTCCCCGCTGACCCCACAGGTGAGTGTTTCTTCCCCACTGTGGTGGGGCCCTTGCTTACAAACCCTAATCTGCAGCCACGGCTGGCGATTCTCTAGCTGCTACTCCAACATCTCCTTGGTATGCAACCTACCAGAAAATTACTTCGGATCAAATTCTCAGCATGTTGCATGATTTTTCAGAACTTTTAAAATAATGAACTTGCTGGGAGTGGTGGCCACACCTGTCATTCCAGCACTCCGGAGGCTGACACAGGAGAATTTCAAGTTTGAGGCTGACCTGGGCCTCCTAGCAAATTCAAGGCCAGCCTGAGCTAACCTGGGAGACCACCTCTCAGAAAAAAAAAATGTTTAAAGATTATGTGCACAAAAGATTTTGTTGAAATGGGCAACATATTAAGCCAAGGGTACAAATTAAACATGAACAGCAAAAATTAAAATAGGGACTTCATCTCAATAAGACCAGAATCATCCATTAAGATTTTCTTTAATTAAACCAGGCATGGTGGTGCATGCTTGTAGTCCCAGCACTCAGGAGGCTGAGGCAGGAGAATTGACAGGAGTGAGAGGCCAGCCTGGACTCATAGTGAGGCTCTGTTTCAAAAAAACAAAATAAAAAAAAAATTTAAGATTTTCTTTAATTAAGGGAAGCCACTCCTTTCTAAGAATATAAACTACGTCATTCAGACCTTTCTATGCCAGACTGGAGTAACTGTAATTACAGTTGCTACTGGGAAACATTTGCAGAGGAACCAGATGTGAGTGCTCTCCTGCCTCCAGCCGTCACCTAAGGGCTCCTCCGCCACTAGCACCAATGCCATCCCCATGGCAACGGGGTAATTGGGCAAGCAGATAATGACACAGAAACAAAGGGAGGGGAGGAAGGTAGAAGGGAAAAAGCACTCCCAGGAGAGAAGAAGGAAAGGGAAACGTGCTTGTACTTACTTATTTATTTATGTTTTCAAGACAGGATTTTGATTGGTAGCCCAAGCGGGGCTTGAACTCAGGGAGATCCTCCTGCCTCAGCCTCCGGAGTGCTGGGATGACAGACAGCCCTTTTAAAGATGTCACCATCTTAGCCGGGCGAGGTGGCACACGCCTGCAATCCTAGCACTCCAAGGCTGAGGCAGGAGGATCACTGGGAGTTCGAGGCCAGTCTGGGCTACATAGTGAGACCCTGTCTCAAAAAACAAACAAACAAAGATGAAGGAGCTCTGGGCGCCTGTCTTCCTTCTCGGAACTGATTTCCCACCCTGTTCAACAGCCCGTGGTCCCAGGCTTGGTCCAGGCCGTGCCGCCCTGTTCAACCTCCACCTCCTCCCTGCCTGCTCCTCCTGGTCTCCGACTCCACCACTTCCGGCCCCAAATGCCAGGCCCCAGCACACCTGGCTCCTGAGGACTGGCGGAGCAGCTCAGACCAAGCCAGGACAGAACCGAGGAGCGGCTGCAGCGGCCGCCCTGACCACAGTCACCAGCCCTCGGTGCGGTGCTTATTGACGCAGAGTTGAGGAAGCTGGCGGGAAAGTGAGGATTAGCTCAGAGCCGCCCGAGGGACAGAGCAGCAAGCGCCCCGGGCCCAGACGGCCTCACCTCCAGCAGCCAGGCACCAGCCCCAGGCTCGCCCCAAGCAAACTTCCTGAACCTTCCCCTTTGTAGGACGAAATACTCAGTCCATCTTTTACACCAACACACACGTGTATCCACTAAATCCCCCCACGACACGCAAAAGAGGACACATTTAAATGACCAGCAAACCTGAGCGGGCCGCAGTAGCACCCGCCTGTAATCCCGCATTCGGGAGACTGGGGAGGGAGGGTCTCGAGTTGGAGGCCAGCCAGAGCAACTCAGGGAGACTGTGTATCAAGTTAATTAAAGGGGGGCGCAGCTCAGTGACAGTGCTGCCTGCCACGTGCAAGGCCCTGTCCTAGTACCACCACCACCAAAACCCCAAAGCTGCAACATGAAAATACCCTCCATAAATGGTTTGAGTTTCCAAGCTTTTTTATACTTCTATAGCACACTCTCCCCCCTTGACGTGTGTGTGTGTGTGTGTGTGTGTGTGTGTGCACGCACCACCCAGCTACCCAGCTAGCTTTAAGTCCATTTTCTTCATTGTGTTTTGTTTTTCTGTTTTTGAGACAGAGTCTCGCTATGCAGTCCAGATCGGCCTTGCACTCGCTGTGCAGACCAGGCTGGCCTCACACTTGCGGCAATCCTCCTGCCTCAACCTCCCAGCTACTGGGATTACAGGAGTGCACCACCACGCCCAGCCTCCACCCATTTCTTTAAAAAATCAGCAATAGTCCGCAGTCCCGATTCTTAAAACAGGAAAGTGTTCAGGCGGCAGCTCTGGCACTAGCGCTCTTTCTACACTACAGAAGCAACCTCCAACTGCAAGGTGAGCTCTCCGCAGGGCTCCCTCACGCGAATCCTGCGGAGTCCCCAGCTCACGTGTCTCCCTGCTCCCACTGACGGGGACAGGGTTTGTGTGAAGAACCCCTGGCAATTCCAGGCCAGCAGAGCAAATGCCACACTTCAACACCCTGGGGGAATCCGAAATCAGAGGTCAAGAGTCAGCCAGGCAAGATGGCGCATGACTGTCTTCCCTAGCTCTCTGGGAGGCTGAGGCAGGAGGATCACAAGTTCTGGCCCAGCCTGGACAACTGGAGTGACTCAGTGAGACCTTGTTTCAAAGTAAAAACAAACAAACAAAAAAACATAAGAAGAAGGGGCTGAAGCTGTAGCTCAGTGAATACAAAGGCTGTGGTTGAAACAAAACAACACGAAAACCCAGGTGACTCTGCTTGCTCCAAAGTCACCATGGCTACTACTTTTCAGGTTCGTGTTTCTCACTTTTAATGTGTGCCAGGTATGAAAAATATGCGATTATCAAAGCTCACTCCCCTCCTGCAAAGTCAAGGTGCCAAGCAGAGTAAAAGACCCGCACTTGACATACGTGTGGGTCCCCAGCATAAGTGGGGGCCGGGCAAGGAACGAGGGCGCGCAGTGGCTCCAGCGACGCTTTCTATTCTGCTGCCACTGCCGAGGAAACAGTTGTCACTGTGGACTCAGGGCCTCCAGCACAGGCCCTTCTCTGACTGGCCAGGAGGCCAAGCCGGCTGCACTGGTTTAAAGCCAACTGCTCCCCCTGGCCGCTTCCCTGTTCTCTTCCAAGGACGCCTGTGCCCGCTTTGCCTGCCCTGGAAACCCAGGACTGACGGACTGATGGGCACTGGGCTGGAGCCAGGGCCTGCCTCCGAGCTATGTCCCCAGCCCTGCTTTATTTTCTCCTTTAAGAGAGAGTCTTGCTGAGCCACTAAGGGGCCCAGGTGAGGCTTGAACTTTCCACCCTCCTGCCTCAGCCTCTGAAGCGCTGGGATTCGGGGCATGTGTCAGTCTGAAGGTCACAGTCAGCTGATCTGCAGCCTTCGCCTCTCATGGGAGATGATGGGGTCACGGGCTGTGGGTCGGGGTGCGCACCTCTTTGGGGAGCTGTTATTAGCCCATCGCCATCTCTGCCACTCACTAGGAACAGGACCCTCATGGGCACCAGGGTGCAACCCTAAAGTGAATGAGCAAACCTCGAGGGGCAGGGGCCTCAGACCCGGGCAGGTGAGTCAGAGCCACGGAACACGGGGAAGACAGGCTGGCTGCTGACCTGCTGGGTGGCCACGCGGAGGGGACGGCGAGTTGAACAGGTGTCTGTCCCCCCACGGATCAAGGCACGGCTGGGCCAAGCGGGTGAGACCCAAGACACAAGACCCCAGGGCACGAGCCGATCCCCGGCGCCGCTGCTCTGAGGCTGTGGGTGCTGAGGCGGAAGAGCTGGGGCAGCGTGGGCGACCGGGAGTTCCAGGCCTGGGTGCACAGCCAGGCCCTGTCTCAAACACCAAGAGGAGCAAGCGAGTAACCACTCGGTGCTGGGAGCAGCCCTGGCCCTGGCCGCTGGCGCTTTCATCAGAATTTTAAATGTCCCTGCTCGCCGGCTGTGCTGGCAGGGGCTGCCACACCACGGCCCCAGCCGGGCCACCACAGAGTGCACAATGTGCAGACGGCCGGCCAGCGGGCAACACAGCAGGGACAGCTTTCCTCACCTAACAGTGCTCTCTGTTGCCACTGGAGCGCGGCAAACGCCAGCCCAGACAGTGGCGGCTGTGCCCCACGACCCCGCCCCAGGACCCCGCCCAGAGGATGCAGGGCCCATGGTCTGGCTCCCCGCGGGGCTGCCAGAGGCTGGCAGACAAGACCTCGGCCAACGGCTTGTCACCAGCTGGTCACCGGCCGCCGTCAGGACGCTCGGCAGGCGGAGGGGACACAGCGAGATGTCGCACACAACTCGGAAGAAACACACCACCCGATGAGGAGCACGGGTTCTAGCACAACTGGACCGAAGTCTGGGTTTTCCCATCCAAGTGCAGCTTGTGAAAAATGCTACCTGAGCCAGTGGATATTCACCACGCCCCATACTGCCCTCGCCTTCCATGCCTCTTTTTCCTTTTGGGGACCTGGGTGTTGACACGATGACCACCAGTCCACCGGTCCCGTCGATGGGCCTGTCCCGTGCCGCCTGAAGGGGCCACGCATGTGCCACAGACGGTTCAGAGCGGCCTGGCAGCGAGACATATACACAGCGAGACATAAGTACATGGCAGGGCCTTTGCACCAAGCTACATCCTCAGCCCTTTCTTAATTTTCTACTTTGAGACAGGGTCTCATTAAGTTGCCCAGACGGAGCTTGAACATGTGACCCTCCTGCCTCGGCCTCCCAGAGTGCTGGCTTACAGGTGGCATGTGACCCCAGGCCTGCCAATCCCCACATCTGGTCCACACCTGGTCATGTAACTCCCAGTGTTCGCCCCATGAAGCGAACAGCGATCCCCACTCTACGGCCGGAAGTCGAGGCTCATGTGAGGGGCTGCCCAAAGCCCCCTGGGAATGCGGGGTGCTGGCAGATTGCTGGGCCCCTGTGGCTCCCACGGCCACCAGAGGCTGCAGGCTGCAGTCCTGAACCACGACCCCCACAACAGTCGCTAGAGCTGGTGGCGGATGGCAGGTGGCCAGGAGGGACCTGGGACCCACTTCACTGAACCCAGGACCTTCGCACTGAGCTACATCACCAGGGACCTAGTAGTACCCAGCACTAGTGCTTACCTCACAGTATCTACCACTACTTACCAGGTGGTACCTAGCACTAGTACTGTCATAGTATCTAGAATTAGAACCTGTGTCATAGCGCCCAACACTAGTGCGTATCTGCTAACATCTGGCATGCTTTCACCTTCCTGTTTCTCTCACTGCCTCACCTCCTGGGCAGCCCTGTCAACCTGTGTGTGACCTGCTTCAAAGGCTGGCCTCACACTCAGGGTCGTGAGCCTCCCCATGGGTGCTGTGTGCAGTGTCCTCTGTGGTTGCAAACATATAAGGGGCCGTGCTCTACAGGAGCGCTGGGGAAGCGGAGCCACACAGCCGAGTGCGTGCCCCCTGACAGCTCTGAAGTTTGCCACCCTGGCCTAAGCCCGCTTGCTGCCTCGGCTGCCTCCCGGTCTGGTGTGGAGCCCTCGGGCAGTCTTCAGTCAGACGCGCTGCCTGTTGTGAGTCCGGGGGGCACAGTCCTTGGCCCAGGTGGGGGCTGTGTCTGTGACAGGAGCTCGGAGGGGCCTGGAGAACGGGTCGGCACCTGTGTCCCCCGCCAGCCCCAGCAGGGCCTCGGCTGGCAGGTAGGGGTCACCTCCAGGGACACAACCTGCCCGGCCACATTCCGGTCCGAGTGCGGCTCTGTTCCCCACCAGCCCTTTCGTTTTGTGCCACGGGAACTGAAGTCGGCCTCGCATGGACCCTCATCCCCAGCCCCTTTTGCTTTATCTCAATTTTTTACTTTGAGACAGGGTCTGGCTAAGCTGTTAAGTCACCCAGGCTGGGCTTGAATTTGCCATCCTCCTGCCTCAGCCTCCCAGAGTGCTGGGGTTACAGGCCGTGCCTCCATGCCAGGCTCCTTCAATCTCTCGAACCCAAAGAAAAGCTTTACGGTACGTTACACACACATTACACACAGGTTAGCCACATGTGCAAATCTGCCAGAATAAAGCCCATTCATCTGCATCACCAATGTGCACTACTAAAAATGTGGAAAAAAGAGTAAGTCACAAATAAAGTGGACCAACTTTCAAAAATGAAAACACAAAGCAACCCAGTGGAAAATGTTACTCAATTCCAATCCCCCTCTGACCCCCACGGGCACTGCGCGCCGGGGGCTGAGGCAGGCAAGTGCCTCTCACACGGGACGGTTTCTAGGCGTGGAAGCTGCGAAAGAGAGAAGAGGCCGCACTCGCTTCATTTCTAGTTTTTAAACCAATAAAAAAGGAGGAAACCGCAGGCGTGAAATCGATCTTATAGAAGGAAGGCTGGGCAGGACTGGCCTGCTCCTCGCCGCTGTATTTCCTTCCTCACAGAGGCCCGGCGGGTGGCCATCGTGGACGATCACAGACAGCTCCCTGAGGAAGCACAACTCCCTGGTCGCCAGGTGTCCCTGGGTAATGCGCTCCCACGGAGGGTCTGTCCTGAGACACAGAAAGTCACAAAGGTGGACCTGGCTCAGGTTAAATTACGAAGAGAAGCCTGGGGTGGCCCCTCGGTCCTAAAGCATGGGCTTAGCCCCAGTACCACATTTTAAAAAGAACCCTTGCATCGTGGCACACACCTGTAATCCCAGCTACTATGGAGGCTGAGGCAGGAGGACTGCAAGTCTGAGGTCAGTATGGGCCACTTGGGGAAACTCTTAAAAGTTTTAAAAAATGTTTTTAAAAAGGGGCTGGGACATAGCTTCAGCGGTAGAGTGCTTGTCTAGCATGCACGAAGTCCTGGGTTCGATCTCCAGTACAGCAAGAAATAAAATAAAAATAAATAACAAGGAAAGAACATGTTCTCAAATTCAGTGAATCTGGGTTTTTAAAAAGGTAACTAAATTTCACTTTTTGGGTTTTTTTTTGAGACAAGGTCTTTCTGTGAGTTCCCGCTGGCCTTGAACTCACAGCCATCCTCCACATGTGTCAACACATCCGGCTAGTTTCACCCTTTAAGATGTAAAATAACAGAAATAATCCTGCCTATGTGGATATAGCTAGGAAGATATTTACTCCAGAGCTGCTTAAAATCATGAGAGGTAGAAACCAGTGTCAGGTGGAGCTGCAGCCACAGAATAGAAAGCTACGGTTGAGCCAGGCATGGGGTACACACTGGGACCCCAGGACTTGGGAGGCCGAGGCAGAAGGATCACTGTGAGTTCAAGGCCAGTCTGGACTACACAGCGAGATCCTGTCTCCATATCCCCCCCCAAAAAAGAGAGAGGGGTGACGCCACGTGAGGATCTCAGGGACCCGGAGATGTCCACAGTGGGTGGGAGAGGACTAGGGAAAAGTGCAGAAACCAAGCCAGCTTCGGGGGGCGACTGGGAGTGACTTTCTTGCTGTGGAACTTGAGCAGAGTGATCTCATTTCCACCTCAGCTTCACCGGAGCACCTCCTGCCCGGCTGGGCGCGGGCACAGACGTGGGAGAGGGAAGCAGTGGCGGGCACGCGTCTGCCCACGGCCACCTCGAGCAGCTCAGCCTGGCATGGAGGGGACCCGGGCGGTGGGAGGCCGGAGCTGCCTGCACTGGCGGGGTTTCCGAGGGACTCACAGTAGGAGGAGACAAGAGACAGCGGTCCGGTCCTCACGGCGGGCGGTCACCCTGCTGCGCTCCACGGAAACGGAACCTGGGATGGACTAGGCCGACCCTCCGCGTCACACTTGTACCAGGCTGACTTGGACCCTTGAAACTTGCTAAATGTGTCTGTAATATTTGTAGGAAGAAAGCAAGGCACCGCTGCATTATGCAGGCCCAGGAGAATTCATGAGCCTTGGTGTGCGAAGCGCGGAGAAGCCCCTCGACCTCCCGGGGCCGCGACCTCCCGGGACCGCAGGCGGCCGTCCAGTCCTTGCGCCTCCCACGGCCCTGGCTCTCTCCTGGTCAGAACGGAGCTGCCACCCACTGGGCCATCAGCGCAAGGGCAGTGACTGGGCCGCCTACGCCCCAGCCTCCCCCAGGCGCACTAGGGCAGCTGCTGTCAAGTCGCGCCTTCGATTCCGCCACAAGAGAACAAGATAAAGGTCAATGAGTTACTCATCAGTTGGAAACTCCAAAAGTCTTAGAAACTGTTCCTTAAAAGTAAAAAACAAAAAAGAAAAGAAATAGCTGCACACCTGTCATCCAGCACTCGGGAGGCTGAGACAGGAAGGCGAGCTCAAGACCAGCCGCATCATTCGGTGATTCAATGAGATCCTGTCTCGAGATTCTAAGGCACTGGGGATGAAGCCCAGTGGCAGGCCCAGGGTGCGGGCCCAGCTTGGGAGGGGACCCTAACTCCGCTTAGCATACGGTTCTCATTTGCACTCCACTGCAGATTTTAACTGATGCAAGGTTATTTCTATTTTTCCTGTATTTCAAAGACGCACAAACATCCCACAGAGTTTTTAAACTGCTCAGTCGCCCCCAGGGCCTGGTCTCCCAGACCGGCCAGCACCCGGAGCTGTCTGGGGCGGACAGGAGGGAAGGGGCGGCTCCTCCCCGGCTCCCGCTGTGCTGTTTTCCAAACATTCTCGCGGCTGCCCAGACCTGGCGCTGCAGGTGTGCAAGCTCCCTCCATGTCTGACTTAAAATGAAACCAAGGAGCCACGTTAAACATTAACTCAGAGGGGCAGACTTCGGCCCTTCGGAGATGGCCGAGAAGCCACAGCGGCGGAGAGGGGCCCGGACCCGGCCTTCTCCGGACCCGGCGGCGCCCCGACCGCGAGCGGCCAGGGGTCCGAGGCGCCCGAGGCCTCGCTTAGCCGAGTCTGGGCTCCGCCGCTGTCCGCAGCGGCCCACTGGCCCTCGGTCTCCCCTTTCCGCTTGGGCCGGCTGTGACCCCCGAGGCCCCTGGGGTCTGGGATGGAGGCCGGAGGGCCCGAAGGACGGAAAGTTAAGCTCGACACAGACCCCGGGGCCGGGACCCGAACTCGGCACGCGCGGGCGATGCTCGGTCGCCCAGGCAGGCGGGGCTCCGACGGGTACGCAGTTGGCCAGCAAAAGCCCGGGTCGGGCCGTGCGCTGGGTCCCCGCGTCCCCGCCTCGGGCGGCGCCGGGTGTTAAGTCCCGGTCGCCCTGGCGTCACCTGAGTCCGCACCACAGCCGGGAGGACCCCAGGGGCGGCCACGAATGAATGAGCCCGAGACGCTCGGGGCCAGGACCGCGGGTCGGGGCCGGGATCCAGGATCGGAGATCGGGTGCGGGAACCTGGGCCGGGAAACTGGGTCCGGGTCTGGGATCCGGGACGGGCCCGCCCTCCTGCAGCTCCTCCCCGTCCTCCCGATCCCGCTCCTCACCGCCGCAGCCCGGCTCCGGGCCCGAGCGGCCGAGGCCCCGCCCGACCTCCCGCGCTCTCCCAGGGTCGCCGCCCGGGTCCGGGCCCCGCGCGTCCGCGCGCGCGCCCCCAGCGACTCACCGCGCTCTGCCGGACTCCGGCCGCAGCTCCGTTCCCCGCGCCGCTCGCGAGACAGCGCGACCGGCCCCGCGCGCCCGGCTTAGCCGCGGAGGGCGGGGCGGCGGCCCGGAAAGTTCCCGGCCCCTCCCCGGTCCGGCAGGCAGAGGGAGGGGCCGGGGCTTCCGGACGGGCGCGGGGCGCCGGGGGTGACTCAGGGGGCGCTGACTCAGGGGCCGCCGCCCGCCCCGGCCGGGCGCGAGGTCACCTGTGCTCTGCTGGGTCGGGGGCTGCGAACCGCAACCGAAAGAAACCTGGGAAGAGCGGGATTCTTCGCCCGGCCGCGCTGGGCCCATGCAGCTCCGGCCCTGGGCGGGGGCTCCGGGGACCCTGCGGGCATCTCGGGAATGGCCCAGGACCCGGTTCCGCGGACCCGGGTGCGTCCACCTGCTGGGCGGCTTTTGCAGCAGCCAGGGCAGCCTGGGCCTTGGCTGGGAGTGGGAACCTGGCCGGTCCTCACCGCTTTCCAGTGACCAGGCTCTGCGTTTCCTCCCAGGTGAGGCCCAGTGTTTAGGGTTGGACTGACCCCCGGGACTTCCAGATAAATCAACAAAAATAATGAGGCACCGCTAGGTGTCTGGTGTGGCCGTCATTTGCAGAATCATTTTTCTGTGCTTATTAAACAGGGCTCCCAAAGCTCTGAGACATTGCCACAACACCGAAGCCCGGCTGTGAAACAACCCTGACTCTACCGCAGGCTCCGGGTCCCTCGGCGGAAAGGCCGCCTTCATAGCCACAGAAAAAGGTAAGAGGCCCATGATTGACGATTGAAATTTATTGCGCTTGGACTTATTTTTCCTTTTCAATAAGGAGTTCCTTTTCAGTTGTAAGGTCCAGGCGCGGAGCCCAGCCGGCGATCGCAAATGGAACGGTTGGCTGGGGCGCAGCGCATGGAAATGCCAGTTGGGACCCGCGGCTCTGCCAACAGCGGCGGATCCGACTGAGAAGCTCGAACTGGTCCAGGTAAGCCTTGGTGTCGCCAAGCTCCTCTGCAGCCCACCCACCCGCGGGGAGCCCAGGGCTGTGGCCCTTAGGGAGGGTACCCGGTGAGTAGTCCACAACTGTCGGGAAATCCGCCGAGGGCTTCGGGCCCTGTGTTCGTGGGAGAAGTTCTGTGCTTGCAGCCTTCGCTGCTGCGTGAGGTGACTCCTGCAGCTCTCCCTGGGCTTGGCTGGTGGGGTAGCCTGGTGTGTGGTTGGTTTGAAATTTTGGCCGGGCCTGGTGTTGCATGCTTGTCATCCCAGCACTCAGGAGGCTGAGACAGGAGGATTGCCATGTGTTTGAGGCCAGCCTGGGCTACATAGCAAGACCTTGTCTAAAGAAAACAGAAAACAACAACAACACACAACAGAAACCCCAAAAGTGATGGTGCTGAATCTTCTTGGAGAGAGGATCTCATAGGTAAGCATGTTCTTGTGAGCATTTTTAAGCCAGCACATTCTATAATTTCACAGGCATGTCTTTGATTTGATAGAACAAACTGATTACGTTAAGAAAGCAAATGTATCCAGGCACTGATCTGATGCCCGCTCTGCCCACACCTGGCGTTGTTTATGTAACCAGCACACTGGGTTCCCACTCAGTTTAGCCACGAATTGCCACAAGCACCTTCTCAGCATGGACTGCAGTGGGAGTGAGAGCTCCCATCTTGGGGTGACAGCTCAAATCTGTCATCCTGGCACTCGGGGAAGCTGAGGCAGGAGAATCACAAATTCCAGCCCGGCCTGGGCACTTTGTCAGGTTAGCAAGACTTTGTCTCAGAATAAAAAATAAAAACCGGGCCTGGTGGCACACGCCTGTCATGCCAGCACTTGGGAGGCAGAGGCAGGAAGATCACCATGAGTTCCAAGCCAGCCTGGGCCACGTAGTGAGACCCTGTCTCAAAAAAAAAAAAAAAAAAAGAATGAATAAATAAAAAGGGCTGGGGATGTAACTTGGTGTGAAGGCCCTGGGTTCAATCCCCAGGACCACACAAAAAGTAATAATCATAACAATAATCAGCTGTGTGAAGGAGGAACAGCTTGCTTCATGTTTGGTTTCATTTGGAGACCACAGAGCCCGAGGGGCTGGCTTCCCCTCTCCTCGCCCAGTCCCTCGGACCCGAGCTCCGCGCACGTGTGTGTGTGTGAATGTGTGTGTGTGTGGTGTGTAGATGCCTCTGATGACAAATCGGGAGAACTAGCCTGCGGACAGGCGGCCCAAAGGCAACAAAGCCCTGAGTGGCAGCAGAGGACAGAGGCAGCCGTGGGGTGAGGAGAGCCCCAAGTTGGGGAGCAGCAGTCGGCAGTGACTAAGCCGGGGCCCAGACAGATCCGTGCTGCCACCGTGGAGCCAGGCGGGTGCCTTCCCAGAGTCCACCCAAGGGGCAGCCGGGGGAGGGTGGGAAATGTGTGATGTGACCAGTTGCACTTTTACACATTGATTACAGTGAAAGACACATTGGCACAGCCTTCTTCAGAATCCCCCTTGCTTCAGACTCTCGCCCCATGATCCTAGCCGCTTCCTGCAGCAGCTCTGGAGTCCTCCTCCGGAGGGTCTCTGAGGGCTGATGAGAAATCCAGTGAGCGCTCTGCTGACACTGTCCCTGGGAAAGGCCCCTCCTAAAACACGACGCTGTGTCCCCATCCACCTCAGTCACTGGATCTGGCACCGTGGGACTCTGGCTCCTCCCCAGAGTCAAAGTGACCGTGAAAGGATGAGATTTTGAGTAGATTCAGGGCATTGAAGCAGCCAGGACAGCGCAGCTAAAGACCCTTCAGAAAGAGGACTCCAGAGCTGCTGCAGGAAGCAGCCAGGACGGCAGGATGCGTGTGCCCACAGCAGGGAGACTGGAGGTGGATTCTGGCAGTGCCTTTCGCTGTGAGAAGTGGGAGCACTGTATTTTTGCATCAGTGTCTGCCTTGGTGGGAGTGGCCCGAATCATCACTTTCAGACTTGACAGACTCGAGGCACCTTGGGGGCTTCCGGGTACCATTTTAAGGAATTGCCCACGGTGGTTCTCTTTTCCTTACGTGTGTGTGTGTGTGTGTGTGTGTGTGTGTGTGTGTTCCATTTATCTTGTGGTCACATGACCTGGGGATAAAGTAAATCTTGCTGTATTCATTTCACATTTGTGCTCAAAGGATTTTAACTCAGCTCACGAGAGATGGGCCGGGCTCGGAGCCAGTGTGAGCTGTCACCAGCAGTGTGGGCCTGGCGAGAAGGAAGAGGGAACGCCGGGTTGCATCTGCTGAAACCATGGTGCTCACCCAGTCAGGGCCTCGGCAGCAAACAGCTGCAGAGGCGACGAGCTTAAGGAGAATGTGCTTCCTGAAGGAGCTGTTTATAAAGCTGACCTCGGAGAAGCCAGGACGAGTGAAGATACAATAGGAAGTGTTGGAAGCCGGGAGTGGTGGTGGACACCTGTGACCCCAGCACTCTGAGAGGCTGAGGCAGGAGGATTGCAAATGCATGCCCAGTCGAGGCTGCTTAGCACCTTAGCAAGACCCTGACTCATAGTAAAAAGTAAGAAAGGGCTGGGGATGTAGCTCAGTGCAAAGGCCCTGGGTTCAATCTCCAGTACAGCAAAAAAAGATTTTTTTTTTAACTTAAAAAAGGTTTACGAACAGCAAGACCCTGGGATTCAGCTCAGCCAGGTTTCATCTGCTCCCTAACACACACACACACACACGCGCACGCGCGCACACGCATGCATGTGCAACGGGTCACCTTGGGATTTGGAAAGCACACAAGTCCCTGTGAGCTCACAGACATGCAGGAGCCCGTGCTCAGGGTCTTCGTTATTTAGGACCCTCGTGGGTCAGGCTAGGACAGCCTGTCCAAGCCTGCTGCTTGGCCACTAGGCCCACACCCTGGGCCCCCAGTTCCGGGCCCCCGGTGTCACCAGTGGTCAGCAGTCTCCCGAAGGACTGGGCTCATTCCAGGAGCCCGGGAGAGGACGCAGCTTGTCTTACCTCCAGCTACGTCCTGGCCTCCAGTCCCAGCTGATCTTGGCCAAACTCGACATTGTAACTAAGGGATATTCATGATGGGTACATTTTGCCAGCATCCTAGCACTCAGGAGGCTGAGGCAGGAGGATTCTCACAAGTTTAACATCAGCCTGGAATACAAAGTGAGACTTTGTCTCAAAAACTAAAAAATAAGTCAATAATAAGACCATGTTATCAGCTGAGAGGAAAGAAGCAGGATCTTTCTTTTGTTTGGGTTTGAGGGGGTGAGACAGGGTCGGGTCTTGCTATGTAGCCCAGGCTGGCCTTGAACTCACAGTGATCCTCCTGCCTCGGCTTTCTGAGTGCTAGTATTATAGGCGGGCACCACCAACCCTGGCTGAGTAGAGAAGCAGCATCTTAATAAGGGTTTGAGAAAGGAAGATTTGAAAGATAGAGGAAGGAAGCCAGCAAAAGAAAAGGAGAAATTTGAGGATGTCGAAAGTCAGGCCAAGGACAGAGTTCAGAAACCAGCCGGGCATGGTGGTGCATGCCTGTAAACCCAGCGCTCAGGAGGCTGGGGCAGGAGAATCGCTGTGATTTTGAGGTCAGCCTGGCTATTTGCCCTGGACTTATGTGGGGTAAGAATAAGGATAAAAACAAACTGCAAACCGTCCTGCAAAAGTCCTGTCCTGTCCTTCAGGGAGTGGCTGAGGAGGTCACTGGCCGAGATCACTCTGCTGTTTATTTGAATAGAGAACCTACTTATCACACCCCAGCCTGAGCTCAGGCGAGGCCCAGCCACGCAGGATGTAATCAGATGGGCACTCAGATAACCCAGCGGGCAGATGGGCACTCAGATAACCCAGCGGGAGACGTCCACCCTCCTCTCCCCTGTACCCAGTCTCTGCCTCCTTCCTGTGTGAGACCCGTGCTGGTCTCCAGGCTCAGAGGGCAGCATGTCTGCTCTGGGGACAGCGGCTGGCAGCCAGGGAAGCCAGCACGAGCCCCGACTGATGAGAAGCTGCCCACCTAGCTCCCCTGGCAATCTACTGAGGAACTGTATGCCCTGCACGGGGCGAAGGTTGAAGCCATGAACTCACTGTGCAGCCCAGGCTGGCTTTGAACTCACAGCGATCCTCCTGCCTCAGCCTCCCACACGCTGGGATCACAGGCATGCGCCATGACACCCACCTCTCTCTCCTGCTGTGTCTGTCGGTTCCTTCTCACTTCCCAGAGCTCAGCTGAGCCCTTCCTGGGCTGACGCTCACCCCCCACTGGAAGTGGTTTCCCTGTGTCTACGCGGTTCCCCTGGCATCCAGAGCGTGCATGGTTGCCCCCCTGGGTCATGGCTGGCCTGGGGCCAAGGTGCCAGGCTTCCCGACACTCACCTTCTCCCTGGATGTGCCCAGCGTCTTTCAGGCCCACAGGGCGATGCCATGGGGCAGCAGAGGGAGCTAGGCCATGCCCTGGGAAGGGCCTGGCCTGCACTTAGCAGCTGGTCGTGGAGAGAGCACACCTTTTCTTAGTTTGGTGACACGAGCTTGGACTCAGTGCCTTCATGCTGAGCTACGTCTCCAGCCCTTTTATATTTTTTGATTTTGAGACAGGGTCTTGCTAAATCACTAGTGGCCCAGGCCTCCTGCCTCAGCCTCCCGAGTGCTGGGAGTACAGGCGCACATCAGTATGGCTGCTCAAAGACCAACTTCTAACTGCTGCATTATTCTTCCCTGGTACAGACCCAAACGTCAGCATTGTCGACGTACTAAAGAAAATAAGTAAAATCAGTAACAAAGCAAAGTGAGCGGTGACTTCATCATAAGGTGAATTCTCTGGCCTTGCTGCGCATGGTGGGGCACAACTGGCATCTCAGTACTCAAGGAGGCAGAGGCAGGAGGATCCCAAGTTCCAGCTCACCCTGGGCAACTCGGTGACTTAGCGAGATCCTGTCTCAAAATAAAAAATAAAAAAAGGGACGGGGACAGAGCTCAGTGCGAAGGCATGGGATGTTAGACACTCGTAGGGCGGCAGAGAGCTGGAGGGAAGGCGAGTTCATTGGCTGCTGGGCTCGGCAGAAGTTGCCGTCCAGAGTCTGAGCCCGGATTCGAAGCTTGTTTTCATGTTTATTGCGCTCTTCAGGCAGGGCAGGGACGCAAGCAGGCAGGGGCGCGGCACACGCTGCTGTTAGGGCTTCCATCCGAGACCCGGCCGGGGAGGCAGCTGTGTCCGCAGCTCGTCTTCCAGGCACAGTGACCTCCGTGGGTGCGAGCCTGAGACGCAGTCTCTGCTGTTTTTGTTTCTTCGTTTCGTGGTCCGTCCCCCACACCGCACGCACACACGCTCCGTCCTTGGGACCACCTGCCCTGAGCACTGTACCAGTACAAGGCTTGATGCCCAGGTCTGGCCAAATAAAATCTCATCTCAAGCGGCGGATTTTTTTCCATTATGGAGCATCCAGGTTTCACAGAGTAGCAGTTGGTTACATAACAATTTTCCAGAGCTGGGCGTGGTGGCACAGGCCTGCAATCCCAGCACTTGGGAGGCTGAGGCAGGAGGATCGCCACAAGTTTGAGGCCAGGCTGGTCAACACAGTAAGACCCTGTCTCAAAAGAAAAAAAATCCGCAGAAACCTTTCCCTAGGCCTGGCCGGCAGGTGCAGTCAGGGTCAGGGCCTGGCCAGTGAGGCCCCCGGCTGGGCCCGAAGTGCACATGGGACCTGGGGGCAGACACCAGGCACCAGGCCGGGTCCTCCTCCCTCCCGCGGCTCGGCTGTGTCTCCATGCTCCAGTCTGTCAGCAGCTGCTTCCCCGGCTCCCAGTGATGGGGCTCCCTCCTGGGGCTGGGGCACAGGGGCTGAGGAGCAGAGCGGGCCCCTTCCATCCCGGGGACTCCGGGGGCTGCCGTGGCTTCTGCCTCCCACATGGACACCGCTGGGCCCCGTGTAGCCACAGGCCTGGGTAGAGGTGGCGACCTGGCAACTCGGATGCTTGCTGCTTACTGGTAAGCACTGGCTTCAGGTTCGTTTTTTTTTTTTTTAAATGACAGAAATAGACTTTTTAAATTTATTTTATTTACTTTTTGAATTTAGTTTTTTGGTTTGTTTTGTTTTTTGAGATAGGGTCTCCTTACCTGGTCCAGATTGGGCTTGAACTCACCGTGTAGCCCAGGCTGGCCTCAAACTCACAGTGATCCTCCCGCCTCAGCCTCCACAGTGCTGGGATGACAGGTGTGTGCCACCAAGTCCAGCTTTGCCCTGGGGTAGATGCCAGAGGCAAGTCCCCTCCTGGCTGAAACTCCCTCGGGAGAGTGCAGTACGGAGTGGCCAGGTGTCCTCCAGACACGGTACTGGAGTGGACAGAGGGGGGCAGTGGGCCCTCTGCCCACCTGGAGGGCAGCTCCAGAGAGCGCGCAGCAGGGAGGAGAGGAGCCGAGGACCAGGATGGAGTCAGAGGAGCAGCGCTGCTCGGCTTGTCCACGCCAAAGGCAACACGGAATTCCCAGGATGCTCAGTGAGACCTGGCGCTCAGAACAGCAGCGGGCATTAGACCAAGCACCGAGAGGAAAAACAGGCCGATGTAGGGAGCGCATGGGAGGTGTCCCGGGCTGCTGACCGCCGCTCAGAGCTTGAGCAGAGGCGGAGGGACGCCTGGCACCCTGGGCGGGCGGGGTCAGGACCAAGGAGAGTAATTCCCCCGGCTGACCCCGGACCTGGGATCCGCCTGCCTCAGCCTCTGAGCAGCTGGGATTGCAGGTGCGCCAGCCTGTTCGCAGTCTCACAGGCTGCCCTCAGGTGAGTGCGCTTGGCTGTGGCAAGCACATGCTTTAGCCGATTTGGGGTGCTAGGACCTCAGCCCTCGGGAACAGTCGTGCAGCGAGTGGGTGCTGTTTGGAGGAGGCAAAGGCCTGCCTGAGACGCTCGCTTTCTGCCCGCCTGATTCCCCTGGCCCTGGCTGGGGAAGCCAGTTGACCGCCGCCTGGGCAGAGGCAGGTGGCCTCGTGTGTCCCTTTTCCAGCTCTCAGCCTGGCAGCTTCCCCGTCATCTCTGTCCCCATGGTCACCTGGGATCCACCTGGCCTCCGCAGTGGCTGCCCTCACCTGAGGACTTGGTCAGATGGACTTAGGGGCCACATAACCGGATATTATTTTGGATGCCTCTGTGTCCACATCTTGTCACATTTTGAGGGTTTAGGACTTCAGGGTTCCTTTTTAGGGGGACATAATTCAACTCATAGCATCCTGAAAACAAACTCTAAAATTAAGAGCAAACTGGGTGTGGTGGCCCATGCCTATAGTCCCCAGCACTGTGGAGGCTGAGGCAGGAGGATCTCCATGAGTTTGAGGCCAGCCTGGGCTACATAGTGAGTTCAAGACCAGCCTGAACTGCATAGTGAGACCGTGTGTCAAAAAGCCAAAAACAAAACAAAACAAGATGAGTTCTGTCTCTTCTTCCAAACATCACCAACAGGAGTTGTCCCTCCTCCTGGGGCTGCAGGCAGGAGTGGTTTCCAGCTCTCTCCTTCCAGGGCTGGAGTTGGGAGACCCCGTTTTCCCGTGGACAGCAAGGAGGTGGCGGCAGATGACCTGTCCCCCTCCCCCGACTGCAGCCCCAGGTGGCTTGGGGACCAACTCATTCCTGGGGACAGCCGGGGTCCTCGAGGGTGGGCCACGTCCTCCTCTCCCAGCCCAGCAGCACCCTGTGTGACCTCAGAGCGGGGCCGGGGGGCTTGGGGCTCCCGGGGCACCTCCCATGGCCCAAGCCCGGGGTCCTTGTTCCTGCCGCTGTCCTAGCGCCGGTCAGCAGTAGCGGCCCCTAGATTTCCGGGACAGAGTTCGGGGAGACGGCATGCGACAGTGAGGAGCCGGGCGCCTCGCAGGAGGACGGGGACCCTACTCCCCCAGCCCCGGGGCGGCAGCAGCCTGGTGGGCTTCCCGGACAGGAGCCAGCGTCGCCGCGGGCGTTCACAGGGCTGGGCTGGGGAGCTGGCTGCGGGGCGTGCAGCGGCAGCTTGCAGCACAGATGCCGGGGGTCCCAGCGGAGGTGTCTGGGAGGAAGCACAGGCTCAGCCCGGGGTGCACAGAGCCGGCTGCGGGTCGGAGGAGTCACCGCAAGCCCAGGCCCAGCAGGGGCCGGTCAGGGAGCGCAGCAGTTACAACGAGGCTGGTCCCAAGGTCTCGTTGGGCAGCTCCAGGGGCGTCGTTAAGGAGCAAAAGTAGAAGGCAGGCAAGGCAGGGAGGTGCATGGAGCAAGGGGGTCTCTGTGAAGTCACGGCCGGGCGGGGTTACATAAGGAGACCCTGTCTCCAGAACAAAGGACAAGAAGGAAGGGTGGAGTCTGCGGTGAGGAGGCGAGAGAACTTCCGAACAGTCTCCTGTGAGCCTGGGGCTCCTCCTCGCGCGCCCACTAGTTTCGAGGGCGTGGCGGGAATATTCTGTCCTTGTGCTCCACTTCCAGTGCCCCAGATGGGGCCCGTGTGTGTGGAGCACAGGCTTGCCCTTCTCTCTTTGCTGGAGAGGGTTTATCTGAATTCTGCCCCGTGTTTAACACCTGGGCATCAGCACGGCCCCACGCCTGCCCCTGCCCCTCTGCCTGGGAGCCCTTCTGGGACAGGAACCTGACTGCCTGCCCCTTTGGAGCTGAGGCTTGCTTGCTTCTTGTTTTCGAGACAGGCTCTTGCTAAGTTATCCAGACTGGCCTCCAACTCAGGACCTTCCTTCCTCAGCCTCCCAACTAATGGAGCCATGTACCTGGCCTGTCGGTCAGCTTTGAATTCAATGATTTTTGTTGTTGTTGTTTTTTTTGAGACAAGGTCTTGCTATGTAGTCCAGGCTGGCCTCAGTCTTGCTGCCATCCTTCTGCTTCAGCCTCCTGAGAGCTGGAATTATGGGCACATCTGGCTAGTTCTGAGTTAAATGAATGGATACTATTCTTTTTTTTTTTTTGGTACTGGGGATTGAACTTGGGACCTTGCACTTGCGAGACAGGCGGCAGAACCACGGAGCTAAATCCCCAGCCCTGAATGGATACTATTCTTACCAAAGGAACTTTTGGATTCTTCTGGTCGATCCAGTCCTCAAGTCTGGAGAGCAATCCAATCAGCGCTGTGGTTGCTTTGGATGCAGAAACAACCCATGCAGGCAGCAGTCTGTGTGCAGAGGGGGCTGCCTGAGGCCTACGTGCCCTCGCTGGTGGGGACTTCCCCATGCAGCACCACGCCCAGTTCCTCCTGGGCCCTGCATGGTCCCTGAGAGGGCTCCCGGCCGGGTGTCACCGACATGGCCTCTGCTGGCTCCAGGGCCCTCGCCACAGCCACAGGCGGGGATCCGGGGAAGGAGCGAGTGATTTTCTTCTCTATGTTTGGCTTTGCACCCAGACCCCGGGGCCCCAGAACATAGGCTTGGTCTAAGAAACCACAGAAATCCATGGCCACCAGGGTCTTAACTCGGAACCCAGTGGTGAGCCTTGTGCTGGGTCTCCCACCGAGCTCTGCACAAGTGAAGCCCCAAGGAGACCCCGTGTCCCAGGAAGGAAGTGGGCAAGCGAGCCTGCTTCCTAACCAAAGAAGGAGTAAAAGTGCCGCTGCTTCTGGCACGGGCTCAGGGTGGCCCCGACCCTTGAACTTGTGTCCAGCAGCTTCTGTTTCCTTCCTTCCTTTGCTCTTGGCCCCTGCAGTGCTGGGATTCGAACCCAGAGCCTGCTGCATACTAGGCAAGCTCTCTCCACTGAGCCACATCCCAGCCAGCCTGGCTGCTGAAGACCTTATTAAAGAAGTCTTTGTTATGCACTCCATTTGCCAGGCACTGGACAGAACCCGTGGAGTCCGGACAGGTCCACACTCCAGGGAGCGGACGCTCACAACCCCTGAACTCTTGTGTCTCTTAGAACCCAGTACCGTGAGGGTGCACAGCGGGCCCCAACACGCCATCGAATGGTTGTGGCCGCAAACTGGTAAGGCCGTTGTCACACCGCAGTGTCAAACCCTGCAACGCACGGAAGGTGCTCACTGCGTTCAGCAAACCCCACAAAGGTCTGCATGGCAGGGATTTGGTCGGCTTTTGCTGGCTGGGAGGACAACTCAGGGCCTGTACACAGCGGCCACCCCTAATGTGTCGCAACCCGCGCTGGCTGCAGGCCCACCAGGCCTGGCGGTGTCCCGTTGCCAGCTGCTGGGGGGCGCTCTTCCTGCGCTCTTGAACATCCCATGCCTGAGGAAGGGCAGCCATGGCTCTGAGAGAACAGTGGAAGGATGGCGCCCGTTAGGCGCTCATACTAGCAGGCCTGTTAGACTCTCTCGGATTTCTCATTGCACTTTGAAAACAGAACCCACGAATCATGCACGGCCCATGCCAACAGGGAGCTGCGGAGCAGCCACCCTGAACCCTGGCTCCAGCTGCCTCTGACAGTGGCTCGCGGGCACGGACTCCGCAGCAAGCTCCTACCTTGGAAAACCGCAATCAGCCCACCGATCAATAAAAACCTTCAAGTAAGGTGGCCAGGCAGTCGGGGCCCTGTCCTGGGGTCTTGAGTGTCCTTGGGCTGGGGGAGGAAGCGGCAGGGTCCCTGGCACTGAGCTGAGAGCTGCAGTTGGGTGTGGACAGAGCCCATATAGGGTGGGAGCCGAGCCGGGCACAGGGCCCGGGCAGCGGGAAGCTCAAGGACCCCCGTCTGAGTCTTCGAGGCAGCTGGGGCCACGCGGCCTGGGCGTGTGTCTGGCTTTTACCCCGTGGCATGGTGGCCTTCGCCTGAGAGCACAGGGAGAGCAGCCTCAGCTGTGCTGTGGGCAGGGACAGTGCGCAGGCCCGGCCCAGGACGCCCGGGAGGCCTTTGTGCAGATAGCAGGCAGGGCCGGGCGCAGAGTGTCCCAGGGAAGGGTCAGGTGCGGTGGGGCAGACCCCGCCCTCACCTCTGGAACCACCAACCACCCCCAGATCCACATAGCCCTGGGCCGTGGGTGCAGAGCACGGTCTGCGGGTTTGGTGGTGTTTGTTGTGTGCAGGATGGGGGATTGGACCCAGGGCCTAGGCACTGAGCTACATCCCCCCTCTCCACCCCCTTTTTTATTGTGAGACAGGGTCTTTCCAAGTCTCTGCATTACTCAGGCTAGCCTTGAATTTGTGATCCTCCTGCCTCAGCCTCCCAGAAGGCTGGGATTGTGGGTGTGTGCCACCACACCCAGTTTGGGACTTTCTTTTGTTTAATACCCTAACAATAATCCCAAGGAACATGCATTTCTAAGACGTTTTTGTAAGTGTATAATTCACGGCGTTGTGCCTTTACCTGGGAAGTGACGTTTTTCTTGTAAATTTGGTGGGTGGGAGTATGTGGGACACTGTTTCAAACCCAGCAACCCCAGGTGGGCAGGAAACATGGGGCTGACAGGAGAAAGGGCCGTCACTTCAGGTTATGGTTTTATGAGTTCATTTGTCAAATTTTTTTTTAAGGAAGTTGCATTAAACATTATTTATAGACCACTAAATGGGTTATATGACCTATGTATTGCAGGTGGATTAGGTCAAAAGAGCAATAAATCCTCTGCTTTCAGCAAATATTACTGATCCCAGCCATGCCTGCCCTGGAAGGAGTGGGGTAGACAAGGAGGCCGTGGACAGATGGTGTCAGAAAACCGAGGATCTGAACAAACCGCTCCCGAGGCACCGGATGTCCCAAGCCTGCGGGACATTCCTGGCCACCTTCCGTCCTAAGGCAGAAAACCTGGATGCATTCTGACCCTTTGTGCCTCACTTCTGAGGAAAATAACCTTTCTGTCCTCTGTCTCCTTTGCTTAATCCTAAGAATAATGGGAAAAGGATAAAAACCCACACCAGCCTAGAAGTGTGGTCACCAGGCGAGATGACCACAGCCTGGTGGCCAGGCACACTGGGCCCGCAGAGCTGAGTGGATAAAGGTTAGGACAGGGCAGTAGGGCAGGGACACGTCCAGGGGGAGGGGCATTCCCAGTACAGTGAATGACACTATCACCCAGTGCACAGAGCCAATCAGATGCTGTTTTGGACCAATCAGAATCTTGCTATTTTCAATCCCTCATTTGAATCTGCTGCTGTTCACAGGACCAGTCAGAAGATGCTCTTCGCAATCCTTCATTTGCATGTGGGCACAGCCAATCAAGACTCTGCTCCTGATCCTTCATTTACATAAGGCAAAAACCAGAGGCATTTTGGGATAGGACAGTTCATTCCCAGGGAGTGTTTGATAGGACGACTATTCTAATGCCTTCTTTACATGAAGAGAGAGAGATAATGCAGGAATTCCAGATGCAAAAGACCTTTCCCCCTCCCGAAGGCTGCTGTGAGTGTATTTTTCTGCCTTCAATAAATGTACACTCTTGCTGCCTTTTCTGAGTGTCTTGTTCAGGTCACCAAGAACCTGGAAAGAAGCCCCACGGGACCCTCCATCCACTAACATTTCGGACAGGAACTCCCAGGTGCTGGTCACCTCTGGAGGGTGGACTTGGTTTGATAGCACCCACTCAGCGCTCGCCTCCCCCGGCCAGGCTGGGCCCTGGAGGCCAGGCATCGCACCTGGGTGGGACAGTTGGCTGTGAAACTGAAGTGAGCAGGACCATCTTCGCTGGCCTGGGGCTGTGATACCCTTCACTGCTACTGACCCCCTCTGGGCCCACATTAAAGTCCACCGTTCTGAGCTGGACAGCGGGAATGAGCCCCTGTGCTGCAGAAGGGCCTGAGGGTCAGAGCTCAGGAGATCCCATTGCTTTCTTCCATGTTTTGTTTCAGAATGAACGTGCTCTTTGTGGTTGTTTCATGAGGTTCAAGAAACTCCACAACCCATTTGGCCACCCACTGATCTTTTAGGGAAAGACCCCCCTAGAAGGATTGGTCCAAGGGTTTATTAATTTGGAAGGAAGGCTAATAAAGCGGAAAAGGATTATTTTGCTCCAGCCCAGCACTGTTTTATTTAGAGCTGTACAGAGAGTGTTTCTGATGCTGTGATTTGTGCTGGCACTTTGCTTGGTGTCACAGCTAAAGTAGATCAGGGCATTGCTATAGTGGAAAAACTCTTTAACTTCTCTATTTTATTAAGTCTTACATTATGTGATGATTCTTTAAACATCCCCAAAAGTTTTGAGGTCCTTAAAAACAAACACTGGGAACAGTAAGGTGGCTTTAATCAAGACAAGAAACTAGAGAGTAAAATGGTAACTAAACATTAACTTTGCATATTGCTGTAGTTTGGATGTTAAATATCCCCCAAAGCCCAAGTGTTGAAGGCTCAGTCCCCAGCCTGCAGTGCAATTGAGAAGTGGTGAGACCTTTAAGGGCAGGGCCTAGTGAAAGGGAGTTAGGTCATTGGGGTATGGCCTTGAAGGGACCTGAGCTCCGCCCCTTCCTGCTCCTTTCTGTCTGCTTCCTAGCTGCCATGATGTGAGCAGCTTTGCGCTTCCCCACACTCCTGTCAGGAGGAGCCACTTCACCCTAGGCCCCGAATCCAGGGCCCCACTGCCTGTGTACTGAAACTTGTGACAGTGGGAGCTCCAATTCTCCTTTAAGCTTGATTGTCACAGGTGTTTGTTGCAGTGAGAGAAAGCTGACCTACCCTAGATATTGATTTTGCATGGATTAATCACATCAGATGAAATGCAGAATTCTGATAGGAACTTGAGAAAGGGTGAGCATGAAGGCCATGTCTAGAAGTTGGCCTGGTTTGGAGTCTGACAGCTGAGACTTTGGTTTTAAGTGTCCCAGTGAGAGGCCTTCTCTCTGCCTGCTGGCACCTGCTGCTCTTACTCGACCCCTGCATGGGGCACAGGGCAGCTCAAGGAGGACAGTCACTTTGGTGGCTCCTTGGATTCGGCTGAGGAACAAGCTCACCCCTCAGCCACCATGAAGCCGGCACTGAGGGGTCTTATTTGCCAAAAGAGGCCTCGTTAGTAAGTGGTTTTGGTTGTGTTTTTAAGCTCTATTTGCCAACTATAGGGATTAACTTTAATTAGTTTTACAAAACTTAAAGGGTTTTAAAAACTTTTCAAATAACTTGAGGAAAATAATATACTGTTACTTCTCATGGGATTAATTTCCTGAAAGGCTCCCTGCTTGGGCTTAGACATAGATTTTCTGCTCCCCACGCTTCTCCGCCCTCCAGACCTCTCAAGGTCATTTCCACAGAAATGCTTGGTTAATTAGGGGTTCTAGTGACTGAGGAGATACGAATACAAAACTTGGTTGAAAATGAGGAAGTTGTGTTGTATGCCTGTATCAGTTTTGCCAAAATGGATATCACTATTCTGTAATACGAACATGCACTTAAAAAAAATAAAGAATGGAGGCCCGGGGATTTAGCTCAGTGGTTCCAGCACCTGCCTTGCAAACACAAGGTCCCGAGTTCGATCCCTGGTACCAAAAAAAAAAAAGAATGGAGAAGTTAGGTGTGGTGGCACACCTGTAATTCCAGCACTGGGGAGGCTGAGGCAGCAGGGTCCCTGTGAGTTTGAGGCCAGGCTGGGTTCAAGACCAGTGAGTCCAAGACGAGCTTGGAATACATAGCAAGACTTTCTCTCAAAAAACCAAACAAAACCAAAAACAAAAACAAAACCAACAGCAAAACAAAATGAACTCCATCAGAAAAACGCAATCAGAAATAGACTCAATCAAACAAAACTCAGAAATTTCTTTTCTTTCTTCTCTTCCTCTCCCCCCCCCTTTTCCCTCCTCCCATTTCTCCTTCTTTGAGACAGATTCTCACTGTGTAGTTCAGGCTGGCCTTGAACTCACTATGTATACCAGGCTGGGCTCAGACTCACAGCAGTCCTCCTGCCTCAGCCTCCCAAGTGATGAGATTATCCACCACAACCACCCCTGGCATTAATTTTTAAAAAATACATAATTTGGAATTTACTACTACTTTTTTGGCTTAAAGAAGAGTTTATTTATTGGTGACTATAACCTACATCTATATCCTGCCGAAAAAGTTTACACACTTCAGCAGTTTGTGGTACTAATAAACGCCTGGAAGCTCAGGCCCACCACTGAGTACCTTGTGTGATTGTAGAGGCCGAAGGTAACTTGCGTTAATCTCATGATGTCTTGATAAATTCAGTATTAAAATATTTGTAGAAGTTTTTCTTTTTCTGGTGCACACTTTTTCTGGCAGACTACGTATGATGATGCACATGTATCTGTGATTACCGTACATATATATGTGAATACTCAGCTGAGGGTTTTAGCTTTATTTTCCTGAACACTGTTGGGGAAATTGAGACTGTGAGAGATTCTTACTTGAAGAGCCTGTTTTGTGCTCTTGGCTCTTAACTACCCCTTGGCACTGCTGTATTTAATTCATTTAACCTTCAAGGCCCCAGGGTCACCTGGCCTCGACCAAGTTCTACTGTTTCTGCCTGAAGGAAAGGAAGAGGGAGGGAGGATCTCATTTTGAGACCCGGAAGTTTGATACTTGGCTTCCAAGTTGCGTTTGGTGCCTAGATATCCACCAGCAAGCGCTTAACGCGACACACGGGACCGCCCGGGCCATTTGTAGACTGCGTGCTAGTTGCTGTCACTCACGTCCCACGGTCGGATGGCGACAGCAGCACCCATCTGCCCTGCGGTCTCCTGCTGTGTGCAAACAAGGCCGGGTGCCCTTGCGGTGGGGCCTGCTCTCTCAAGCTGTGTCCCCTCCAGAGGAGCCAGGGAGCCACAGATGTGAAACAGCAGCCCCAGGCAGAGCCGTGGCATCCGATGTGTCCCGGACGGGGTCCTCACCCGAGGAGGAGCCGCATGGAGAGGGCCCAACTCGGGAACGAAAGCACTGGAGTGGCGGTGGCCCCTTCCTCCGCTGTGGGCCGTGAACTGCAGGCTTCCAGGCCGCGCGAGACAGAGGCCCGCTTTCATCTGCTGAACACGCTGCGCCCACTCCGCTGCGGGCTCTGAGCTCCGGAGTGCAGGGTGCACGGGGCTGGGTGGGGGTGGCTTCGCTGCAGGAAGCTCAGCTGTGGGACCAGAGCACGAGACCACAGGGGCCCGGAAGACAGGAACAGGTCATGGCTGCTGTTAGGACGGAATAAATTGTCCAGAGAGTGACTGTGGGGTTACTGTCAAAAATTATGATGAAAGTTGAATCCCAAAGGGCATAACATCAAGTTACAACAACCCATTCCATATTTCCTACTATCAATTTATACTTTAGCATAATAATCAATTTGTAGCTGGCTATGCATCTCAGTAGCTGCACCTAGAGGATATAGGAGGCAATTTTTGGTTTGCCCACTTGGTACAAAGAATGGCAAGGTGTGTACACATGTACAAAAGTGTCAAACTGGGATTTATCCACGCAATGCTCTGGGCTAACAGGTTTTGCATATGTTTACCTGAGCATCACAGGAGTAAAATACACCCACACCACTCTTCTGACATGGAAACATATATTTTATCATAACGGAATATGGGTGTGACTCATAGTAGCTGCACCTGGAGAAAGCAAAAACCCACCTGTGCTTCCACCCACTTGGCAGATGAATGGTAAGGTGTGTACAGGAGCTCCAAAGCAGCAACAGGTGAGTTGTACCCATGAAAAGCTCACTGCTAAATTTCTGTGCATTTAAGATTTGTTTTAAAAAAGTTTTCTTTTGATTTTTCTGGTAGAAGTACCCGAGTTTAATGCAATGGCACATGAAAAACCAGATTTACAAGTTTTAGAAGAGCTCAAAAGTGAATCATGAAATTATTCATGCATGGATGATGGAGATGAGACTTTGACATTGCCCATGTGAGCTTAAGTTCCTGTGACAGTGAAATGGAGCAAGAATCAAGTGATACACAGAGAATGCAGACCTCCTGGATTCAGATGAGAAGGAAAACAGCAATGTGAGTGCTTATTTGACTGGTTGAAATGTTGCAAAATGGTTGTGCAACCAATGGAACAATTCAGTGTTAGAACTAGGTCTGAAAATATAGTGAGGATCTTGGCTGGGGTGAAATTTATTGGACAGAATGCCAGCACTGCCATTCAATGTTGGAAATTGTAACAGAAGAAATGCTACAAGATGTTGTGAAATACACAAAGGCTGAAGTATGAGTAAAATGTTCTGTATACATAAATAGCCACATTAAAAAATGTATTTATTATGACATTGACAGAGTTCTCTACCAGACAAAATGGCCCCAAAGGTCCTACATTCTAAAATGGCTCCTGTTCCTAAAATGGTTCCCGATTACAGAAATGAGCCACTTTGGAAAAGTGAAACCTGCCCCCTCTGGAGAAGCAAAAGCTAACTTGTCTCTCCACCCTGCTACCCACGTGATCCTCCCCTTCCAGTCACCTGCTCAACTCTTAGGATACTCTCCCCACTGCACACACCCCCATATAAGCCTCACCCCAGTTAGTTTTGCTCTTTCTCGCCATTGTTTGAGGCAGCTGGGCAGCTCCCTCCCCAAAAAGCCCTGCCTTGGGTGCTCCTGTTTCAGCTTGTTATCTTGCAGACACCTCACTAACTGAACTAAAAGTATTCATAGGTCTGCTGTACTCAGCAGGGATTTCTCATGGCAATCACAGGAATGCAAAAGACTTATGGAAAAGCGATTGGTCAAAATATGGCATAAACTGGTGCCTATCAAGGGCCTTTAGATAGACCCTCTGGAGAGTAACTCTAACTGCTGATTACAACTACGACCCTCTTCAGCTGGAAGTAGCCAGAATGGTCTTTGCCCTGTGCCCCGGCACAGCAGTTAGGGGTACTTCTTCAGAGGGGGGAATACTGCAGATAGGTGAGTTAATTAGATATCTTGTGGGCAGTTAGACAGGGCCAGCCCATGAGGAGCCAACATGGAGGACAGTGAAGACACATTCACTGAAGGCCAGCATTGTAAAAGAAGAGAAACTACCATACCTATGTAGGATGAATAGCAGTGATTAATATTCTAAATAGGTATCAATCACCTGGTGGGGGCCCAAGGTCTTAACCCAGCCTTCCCTGGAAATATCCCTGACCCACCCTTACTGAAAACCCTCGTACGCTTGCTTGCTACATGACTTGCTCTCCCTTTTGACCCCCATTTAATCAATATCACCTGGGTGACTGTACTTGTAATCTTATTGGTTGGTCATGGTTTTGTCCCACCTCTTGCCCACCTTGTAAATTTCCATCGGGTCTTATAGTTTTGTCCCACTTTGTACCCACCTCACCACATGGGCAACCCACTTTCCGGTCCCTCTTCTGTCTCTCTTACACAGGAGGTTTCTTTCAATAAATTTTTCCTACTCTTAAAAAAAAAAATGGCATAAAAATTTGTGCACTTGTAGATCCAAAGACATGTTAGTATTGGCCAATGGTTGTGTTTTACTCAATCCTAAACATGTGTGGCATAAATAGTTTGATAGTTTACAAAGAAAATAGGAGAAATTTTCTTAGAGGATTGGGACTGGACCTCATAAGAGATCATTTACAGCAGAGGAAAAACAAAATGTTTCTGCCCAGGGAACTATGCAAAAAAAATTGTGGACCACACTGGTGAACAGGTGAAGCAATACAAAGACCTTCTACAACAGCAGGAAAACAAACAAAAAGATATCAACTGTGCCCTACAAGAAAGGACAGGAAACTGGGATGTAGCTCAATGGTGCCACACCTGCCTGGCAAGTACAAGGCTCTGAGTTAGATCCTTGGTTCCTGAAAAAAAATAAGTAAAAAGAAAGGACAGGAAAACAGAACATAGGTGGTATCAGTGTAAGTGATACTTGTATAAGGAGCATGCTGTTGTCATGTGTAAAGACTGCCTTGGGTATGACAGTTGAAGCAGAGATTATTTCTGTGATAGACTTTTGTTTGTTTTACATTGTAGTTCACATGGGTTTTTTATTTTCTTCCTGGTAACGGGCATCAAACTCAGGACCTTGCCTTTGCCAGGCAGGCACAGTGCCCCTGAGCTACATCCCCTGCCCTTCACATAGATTTTTATTTCTGATGGTCTCTTTTAGGTTTTGTATGCAAGTAAACAGGTGATGTGAACATGTTGTCTATTCTAAGCACTCCTTACATATTTGATACATATTTTTTTCCATTGGCAGATATTTTATTTTATTGATATCTTACTTTCCTGCTAAGTGCGTCTTGTATGGTAACAATATGGTAAGAAACTCCTGACAAAACAGGAAGAGAGGAGAGGTGACAAGAACAGCCTGCCACATGGGAAGGGCAGCTAAGCACACGTGCTGTCAGTGTGAGTCATGAGTGTGCATGGAACACACAGCTGTCATGTGTGAAGACTGCTTTGGGTGTGACAACTGAAGCAAAGATTACTTTTGTTGCAGAGTGCTTTTGGTATTTTCATTGTAGCTCATACAGGAATTTATTTCTGATGTGATCTTTTAGGTTTTGTACTCAAGTACACAGCTGAAATGAAAATGTTGATGTGTATTCTAAATGTGCAATACATATTAAGCATTTAATACTTTATTTTGCTGATATTTTATGTTCCAATTAACTACACATTGTATAATACAAAAGAAACTCTTGACAAATGGCAAGACCAGTGAGATGTCAAGTGTGTCCTACAAAAAGGTCAGGAAAGCAAAGCACACGTGCTGTCAGTGGAAGCCACATGTGTGTATGGAACATGCCATTGTCATGTATGAAGACTGCCTTAGGTGTGATAATTTTTTTTTTTTTGGTACCGGGGATCGAACTTGGGTCCTTGCGCTTGCAAGGCAGGCGGCGGAACCATGGAGCTAGATCCCCGGCCCAGGTGTGATAACTGAAGTAAAGATTATTTTTGTTGTAGAATTCTATCGGTATTTTCACTGTAGTTCATATAGGAATTTATTTTTGTTGTTCTTTTTTAAACTTTGTACACCATAAAACAGTTGATGTTGAAAATGTTGATGCTTTTCAATAAACACTCAATAAATAATAAAAATTCAGTAATTTATTTCTTTATTTTTGTTTTTTAAATAAACTTTATTTTATCCCATTCCCCCGAAGCCTCCTCCCCTCCCTGTGTACAAAAGCTTTGTTTCCATTTTTCCTTCTATTTTCTGTTAGACTCAGCGAGAAAGAACCAACCAGAGACCAATATTAAATCCACACAGTGGTTTATTAACAGCCGGGACCCAAGCTGAGCACTGGACTCAAACCCTGACTGGGGGGAAACAAACATGTTTTATTCACCTTTGAGGCCAGCAGTTTCTAGGTCCCCCTATGGGATAGAACTAGCAAAGCAAGCAGAAGGTACAGAAGCGGAACGTCCTGCTGTTAGAACATTTGTAGAACAATAGTTGATTAATTGTTTCTAAGAAACTTTCTAAGGGGAAGAGGTTTCTAAGCTTCCTCCTTCTAAGTTCATCTAAAGGGCAGGCAGGTGGGTCGTTCAGCAGCAATATGGAGTCTGTTTTGCTAACTAGGGTCCTTCATTTTCACTTTTTAAGCAACTTGTTTTGTTTTTTTGGTACCGGGGATCGAACTCAGGTGTTTGTGCTTGCGCAGCAGGTGGCGAAACCACTGAGCTAAATCCCCGGCCCTATTTTCACTTTTTTTCTTGTCCCTTCCTTCTTTCTCCCTCCTTCCTCCCTTCTTCCCATTCCCATTTGAACACTTTCTTCCCATTTCCCAGCATCCATTATACATCTCAGATCTTATTTCCACATTCAGTTTCTCATATCAGAGAAACAATGTGGTATTTGAATATATGTGTCCGATTTATTTCACTTAAGAGTATGGTCTCAAGGTCCATCCATTCAGCTATAAATGTCTGAAGCTCATCTTTCTTTAGGGCAGAGTAGTACTACACTGTATAACAAAAAACCATATTGGGTCAGGGATGTAGCTCAGTGGTTCCGCTGCCTGCCTTGCAAGCACAAGGTCCTGAGTTTGATTCCCCAGTACCAAAAAAAACCAACCAACCAAACAAACAAACCCTTATCTTCTTTATCCAGTTGTCAGTTGATGGGCATTTGGGCTGTTTCCAAGTTTTAGCTATTACAAACTGTGCTGCTATGAACATGGGTGCACATGTATCCCTGTGGTATGATTCTTTTAGTTCTTTGGGGAAGATCCCCAGCAGGGGAATAGCTGGGTCAAATGGGACCTCCAGCCCTAGTTCTTTGAGGTATCTCCATACTGATTTCCACAGTGGTTGCTCCAGCCTGCACTCCCACCAGCAATGGAGAAGGGTTCCTTTCTCCCCACACTCCCGCCACCATTTGTTATTGGTTGATTTCATGATAGCAGCCATTCTTTCTGGGGTGAGGTGGAATCTCAGCATTGTTTTCATTTGCATCTCTCAAATGGCCAGTGATGTTGAACATTTTTTCATATATTTATTTGCCATTTCTAATTCTTCATCTGAGAAGTGTCTTCTTTTTATTTCAGATGCCCATTTTTGCAATGGGTCTTTAAATTTGAGGGGTCTTTTTTTGAGTTCTTTATATATTCTAAATAATAGTCCTTTATCTGAACAGCTGGTAAAATGTTCTTCCCCATCTGTGGGCTGTCTCTTCACCCTGTTGGTGGTTTCTCTTGCAGTGCAAAAGCTCTTTTTTTTTTTTTGTACCAGGGATCGAACTCAGGACCTTGCACTTTCGAGGAAGGTGGCACACCACTGATCTAAGTCCCCGGTGGAAAGCTTTTTAATAAGATGAGGTTCCAGTTGTTGATTCTTTGTAGTATTTCCCGTGCTGTCTGGGTTTTGTTCATGGAGTCTTTGCCTACTCCTATGTCCTCAGGCGTTCTATCTAGTCTCTCTTCCAGCAGATTTAGTGTTTCTGTTTTAATATTTAGATCTTTGATTCATTTTGATTTTAGGTTAGTGCATGGTGAGAGACATGGGTCTGGTTTCAATCTTCAGCATGTGGAAAGCCAGTTTTCCCAGCACCATTTATTAAAGAGGCTATCTTTCCTCCAGTGATGGTGGTTGGCTCCTTTGTTGAAGATGAGGTGGCTGAGTGTGTCTGGAGTTGTTTCTGCATCTTCTAATCTGTTCCATTGATCCTCAGCTCTGTTCTTTTGCCAGTACCATGCTGTTTTTATCACAGTAGCTTTGTACTATAATTTCAGGTCAGGGTTTGTGATACCCCCTGCCTAGCCATTGTTGCCCAGAATTGCCTTTGCTATTTTAGGTCTCTACTGGTTCCTCACTACTTTATTTTTTGACTTTCCCCTGTTAAATACTCATTGTTTAATATAATAAAACTCATAAGATTAAAATTAATAACTAATCAATAGAAACATTCTAAAGAATAAGCATGGATATCACACATCCGTGTTTCTCCAACTTTATGACAAAATTGGCATTATGCCCCAAGAAATAAAAAAATGATTTATTACAGTAAAAGACATGTCACCATGAATCCCCCTCAAAACCCTCCACCTCGCTTCAAACACACTCACCCCATGGTCCTGGCCACTTCCTGCAGCAGCTCTGGAGTCCTTTCCTGAGGGTCTTTAGTTGCATGGTCCTGGGTGCCTCAATGTCCTGAATGGATTCAAAACGTTTCCCTTTCCTGGTTATTCTGACTTTGGGAAGAACCAGAACTCACATGGTGCCAGATTTGGTGACCAAGGTGGGTGAGGACACAGTGTCACGTGTTTATGAGCTGCCTTTCTACTGGATGGCATCCGCAGCAGCATTTACCATATTTTTGATCCCACCTCAGAAAAACA